CAATGAGATATCATCTCACACCAGTTAGAATGGCGATCATTAAGAAGTCAGGAAACAACAGGTGCTGGAGAGGATGTGGGGAAATAGGAACACTTTTACACTGTTGGTGAGACTGTAAACTAGTTCAACCATCATGGAAGACAGTGTGGCCATTCCTTGAGGACCTAGAACTAGAAATACCATTTGACCCAGCCATCCCATTACTGGGTATATACCCAAAGGATTATAATTCATGCTGCTATAAAGACACCTGCACATGTATGTTTATTGTGACACTATTCACAATAGCAAAGACTTGGAACCAACCCAAATGTCCATCAATGACAGAATGGATTAAGAAAATGTGGCACATATACACCATGGAATACTATGCAACCATAAAAAAGGATGAGTTCATGTCCTTTGTGGGGGCATGGATGCAGCTGGAAACCATCATTCTCAGCAAACTACCGCAAGAACAGAAAACCAAACACCGAATGTTCTCACTCATAGTTGGGAACTGAACAATGAGAACACTTGGACACAGGAAGGGGAACATCACACACCGGGGCCTGTTGTGTGGGGGAGGAGAGGGGAGGGATAGCATGAGGAGATATACCTAATGTAAATGACAAGTTAATGGGTGCAGCACACCAACATGGCACATGTATACATATGTAACAAACCTGCATGTTGTGCACATGTACCCTATAACTTAAAGTATATATACAAAAAAATTAATCCTGGGTGTGTCTGTGAGGGTGTTGCTAAAAGAGATTAACATTTGAGTCAGTGGGCTGGGGAAGGCAGATCCACTCTTAATCTGGTGAGCAAAATCTAATCAGCTTCCAACAAATATAAAGGAGACAGAAAAACATGAAAAGGCAAGACGGGCCTAGCCTCCCAGCCTACATCTTTCTCGCGTGTTGGATGCTTCCTGCCCTCAAACATCTTACTCCAAGTTCTTCAGTTTTGGAACTCGGACTGGGTCTCCTTGCTTTGCAGCTTGCAGACAGCCTATTGTGGGACCTTGTAATCATGTAAGTTAATACTTAGTAAACTCCTAAATATATATATATATGTAGTTTTGTCCCTCTAAGAGAACTCTCACTAATACAGGGCTGCTCCTGGGACATGGGTTTTTGATTCCCTGGCTTCTTTGGTCTGCCTCTCATGCAAGCAGAGTGGGGTCTGGGCATTTGAGAGAAAGTGCTCCAGCAGTTGGAAGTCAGGTGCAGCAGACTCTGTTGATGAGGTCCAGAGAAGGATCAGAGCAAGTGCTGAGTACTGGCGACCTCCAGCAGTGCTTGCATTTGAAGGGGCACCAGGACACGGCAGTTAGAACTCGAACTCTGGAAGTAGACTGCTTGGGGCTGGATCTTGCCCCATTGGGCAAGTTGCTTTTATTTACTTTATTGTTTTATTTATTTTTATTTTATTTTGAGATGGAGTCTTGCTCTGTCACCCAGGCTGGAGTGCAGTGGCACGATCTCGACTCATTGCCACCTCCACCTCCCGGGTTCAAGCGATTCTCCTGCCTCAGCCTTCTAAAGAACTACAGGTATGCACCACCACACCCAGCTAATTTTTGTATTTTTAGTAGAGACTGGGTTTTGCCATGTTGGCCAGGGTGGTCCCGAACTCCTGACCTCAGGTGAGCCACCCACCTCGCCTCCCAAAGTGCTGGGATTACAGGTGTGAGACACCACACCCGGCCTATTTACTTATTTTTAAATGTATTTTTTAAATTGAAGAATAACATACATAGGAAGAAGTCTACACATTCTAAGTGTGCAGCTCACAAACTTCCCCAGATGGAACAGACTCGTGTAACCAACACAACATCTGGTTCATGAAATAGGGTGTGACTGGCGCCCCAGGAATCCTCACTCACACACCGTTCTAGTTACTATTGCCTCCAGGATAACCACTATTTTGACTCTAACGCCATAGACTTTAGTTTTGCCTACTTTTGTGCTTTAAATAAATGGGACCGTGCAGGGCACACTCCGCTGTGTCTGGTGCCTTCCACTCAGAATTCAGTGTCTGAGATTCATCCACACTGTTGTGCACAGTTACTGTTCGTTTGTTTTATTGCTGAGCAGTGTTCCATTGTATTTGATTGTTTCCAGTTTAGGGTGATTTTAAACAGTGTTGCTGTGAGCCCTCTTGTATACCTGTGGGAACAGAAGTCTCATTTTGTCACTTAATATTAGTTAGTATCTTATCCAAGTTTGCAGTGGCAGCTACAGTGTGGTGTCTTGCACACAGCTGGTGCTGTATAAATGTTTGTGGCATGAATCAAGAGGCAGGGCAAGTCCAGAGGTAGATAAACAACCCTTACTGGGATTTGGCGTCTAGTTCACTGGTTCACCTACTCCATGATCCTGGACTTTGGGCCCCACTTGCTGGGTTTCAGAGGGAAACTGACAGCCACAGGGCAGAGGAGACAAAAACGAAGTCTCCCAGGTGTGCCGTTAACAAGCACAGCGCTTAACCATGTTGGGAACTATCCCCAAATGACAGCTGAGAATCCTCACTGACTTTTCTTTGAAGGAAAAAAAAAAAAAAAAATTCTTCCAGACCTGTAACTAGGCTAATCACAAGAAACATCTGTGACCTCCTAAAAATAACTGCTTGATACCATTTTGTAGAGCATAATATTTATATAGCCCAGCAGTGTAATTAAATTGTTGTTTAGTTAACTCTTGGAAACAGCTGAAGGCTCCCAAAGCCCAGGATGAGATCTGGAACGGGCTGGAAAGGGGCCCTGGGAGGTGTTCCCGCAGGCTCTTGGTGGGGTATCCTGGAGCGGCCACAGAGATGGGGGGGCATGAGAAACTGAGGAACATGCTGTGTTGAGGGACTGTGTGGCTTCCTCAGGGGCAGTTGGATTATAGTTGTTTCTATGTTTCTGTCCAGCAGCCTCTGAAATGTCATTTCCTGCTGAGGAAAGGTTTTCCCTTAAAGGACTAATCAGAAAGTGCCCTGTCTCAGAGCGCCTTTGCTGTTGTTTTGTAGCCTGAGGAGATGAAGTGGGACAATGGTGGGTTTTTCTGGAGGGTGTCATGCTTGTTCCTGGAGAACTGCTTGTATTGGTGGGGATCTCAGCTGGCAGGGAGTAGAGCCCTTGCTTTCTCTTTCTCCTCATCAATAAAGAAAAGAGCAAAGCTGAAGCAAGTTTTTTCTTTTTTGGAAAAAAAAAATTCAACTTTTATCTTAGATTCAGATGTGCAGGTTTGTTACCTGGGCATATTGCGTGATACTGAGGCTGTGGACGACTGATCCCATCCCCAGGTACTAAGCATAGTTTTTAGGCAAAGGGGATCCATAGCTGCTTTCAGCTGGGCAAGTTTCTCACTGGAGCCCCCGAGGCCTGCAAAGCAGGACTAGAGCCTACTGCGGGCAGGGCCTGGTGTGGGGTCTCCTCCGAAGTCTTGAGATGACACAAAAACATCAGGCCTTTACAGGGGTGCCTCCAGAGTGCGGGTACGGGTGGGATTCAGAAGGAGGATTCAGAAGGTCTTCGGGGAGCTTGAGAAATCTGGAGTTGTGAAGGCAGTCCAGGGACAGTACCTCCTGCTTTGGCCATCCCCTTTTTGTGGAATTCTGCTCTTTGCATGAGGAAAAGGGAAAACACATTGATGTTTTGAGCCCATAAGCGTTCATTTGTTCGTTCATTCTGGGATAATTACCAAGCAACTACTACCTAATGTACCTTCTTGGCCCTGTGCTGAGAGTAAGGGATGAAAGACTGAGCAAAATGGACACCTCCTGATATGGTTTGGCTGTGTCCCCACCCAAATCTCATCTTGAATTGTAGTTCCCATAATCCCCACGTGTGGTGGGAGGGACTTCGTGAGAGGTAACTGAATCATGGGGATGGGTTCCCCCATGCTATCTTCATGATAACGAGTAAGTGCTCATGAGATCTGATGGTTTTATAAGGGGCTTCCCCCTTCACTTGGCTCTCATTCTTCTCCTTCATGCTGCCATGTGAAGAAGGACGTGTTTGCTGTCCCTTCTGCCATTGTTTTGTTTCCTGAGGCCTTGCCAGCCCTGCGGAACTGTGAGTCAATTAAACCTCTTTCCTTTTTAAACGCCCGAGTCCCAGGTAGTTCTTTCTAGCAGCATGAGAATGGATTAATACACCTCCCATCCTCAGGGAACTCCCAGTGTAGTGCCTAGCTACACACACAGTGAGGGCTCAGGAGGGAAACCTGAGGGACTCTTCATAGACTTGTAGGGGCTTAGGACAGACTTCCTGAGGAACAAGATCAGAGGAATGAGGGAGAGGTCCCTGAGATAGGGCAGAGATAAGACCATTCCAGGCAGAGGAAACAGCATGTGCAAATGCCCTGTGGCTCACAGAGCATGATGAGTTCCAGGAACAGAACAAGACCAGTGAAGATGGAGAAAGGGGGTCAGTGGCAGAAGGCTGGAGACCAGGGCCAGGCTTTGTAGCCTGAAGCCAGAACTCTGGTGGTCATCCTTACATGATCTGAGACCTGGAACCACCTGCTATGGTGTGGACTCCATGCTGGCCCTATTTTATTCTGGAAAAGGTGGTTGGGTGGAAAATGGCACCCTTAAGGCTGGAGTTGCCAGAAAGATTTAGGGTTTCTCCCCATCTTGAAATGTGTAACCCCAGACTCCTCCAAACCCTGATGGTGACCATCAAGATGGAGGTGGCTCTATGACATCAATGAAGGGACAGTGAACAAGGACCTAAAAACAAACCCTGATCCATGGAATTGAGGACTTCATCTCAGTGTCTGTCCAAGCCACAGCCTAATAGGTCCTTAAACAGACTCAAAGGGAGAAACGGCCCAAGGAAGAAGGAAAGCCACCATTTGCATTTCCCAGTGGCGAAACTTTTTATTCCAAGTCTAAAGTTATCCCAAGGCCACACGTATGTGGATAGGGGATGGTGTGTTTGGGTGGGCTTGTGGTGTTGTGCCATGGGAAGCAGTTTGGAGGATAAGAGAATGTGGTGCCCAGATCCGCAATGTCATCCTTACCTCTCCAAAGGGTTCCTGGGGTACCCCTCCACAATGTAGGGATGAGTCCAGATGGTCTCTGTTTCCCTTGGATATTTATAATCCTAAAAACAGATCAGTATTTAAAAGTTAACGAAGAAAGGGAAAGTTAACTCACTGACAACAATAAAAGGCGTTCAAGGCTTAACATGTATTATCTTATTTCTTGTCACTACTACTTCTGAAATTAGCTCCATTTCCATGGGAAGGGTGAAAACCTGCTGAGGTTTTGGCCTTAGAAAGGTGGTGGTGCTTCCCACTACTTCCAGCCCATGTAATTAAAAACTTAAAAAGTAAAACTATGCTAAACCATAAATCAAGTGCAAGATAGATGAATCAAGTTCTGGGTGTTTCTCCACAATGACTAGTTTGATGTGTATTTTTCAACATTATTATACATAACTGTGGTTATTTTTATGTAAATTCGAATTACGTGATTCTGAAATAGTTTAATATAAAATAAAAATAAAGTCTCACTTTACAACCCAAATATGAAATAGAATACCAAGAGATTAAAGAGAGTTGGGAATCTCATAATTTCAAAGGCATTAAGATAGACTGGTTTGTGAGCTTTGCTGAAACTTGTCCAAGATGGGGCTGTTTTCAGCGGGTAAAAGGGAAACCCACCATGCTTTATGTTGTTACTATGAAAAGGTTGGCCTGGACTTAATTGAGCTGGGATTTACTTGAGGTCTTCAGGAAAGCATCTGTCTAATAAATATAACTGCCATATAGCAAATTATGTTGGAAAAAAATCCCTTGGTGCCTTTGAATTATGTGTGGACACAGTAGGTACTTTCTCTGCCTCCTGGGTCACTTAGGGGAAGAGAAGTTAAGTGACTTGCATAACAGCACAAGGTCATGGTGGAGCTGAGGTTTGGAAATGGGTCTGCTTGGTTCCAGGTGTCTTGTTGAGAGAGATTTAGTGTTCCTGCCCTCCTCTTTAAATTACTTAAAAAAAAAAAAAAGAAAAAAAAAAATCAAAGAACTAGACAGGGCTTTGAAACTCATTTAATCCAGGGCATGCATTTTAGAGATGAATGAACTGAAATCCAGAGAAGAAAAACTGAATGACGCAAAGCCATGGTTGCTGTGCTTTGGTTGGCTTCACCAGTTTTCCAGGGAAGCTCTTGAAAGAGGCCTGAGCTCTACTTCAAGCTGAGTCTTAGCCTCGCTGTATGGTCACCAGGAGGCTACTTGTCCTCTCCTGGTTCAAGCCCCATCTCTCAGGGAAGCAGGTGGGTTGGATGAGGTGTCCTCTCACATTCCTTCAAGCTTAAAAGCTCTCTATGTCTGATTCCAGCCTCTTCTCATTGATTACTTCCCATTGTCTCTTGGGGATAAAATTGGGGTGGTGGTAAGGGGAGGCCCCATAAGAAATGGGGTAGAATAAATGAACCAAGAATGTAGAGGCAATAATTTTTCCAAGGAAAATTTAGTAAAGAGAAAATAAAATTTCTTTCCTTTTTATTTTAAAGAAATAGCCGGTATCAGAGTTCAAGATGACTGACCAGTGTACGATGAATTTCCATTTTTCTTTATTACAAAGAATCATTCAGAGATGCTCTCCCATTTTCATACCCACACAACACATAAAGCTCAATACACACTTGCACACACATGCACATCAAACATGCCCTGGGAATGAAGCATCACAAGGAGCTGAATGAATGAGTTGTTCAAGGCAGGCAGCCCTGGGCAGGACTTGGTTATAGCTTTGGTGGGAGTCTCTTTGGAGAAGTCCATTTGGTGGGGTACATAGGCACAGAACCTTGAAAAACTTTCTGAGATGTCACTGACCAGTTTGGCCAGTATCTAAAATTGTCTCCTGTTTATATTTTCTTCATCTTGAAGAACTCTGTGACATATGATTAGTTATAAGGTTTCTCATATCTCCCAATATTTTCTCTGAAGTCGGATTCCAATGTCTTTTTTGAGTGGCAGTGTCCAAATTACTTAGAGCCACAAAATCACTGAGTCACAGGCTATCTCAAAACTCTGCAACTTAACTGATTTACACTCATGGACCTGTGGTGTGACTGAGGATCTGCTAATTCAGGCTGGCTGGGCCCTGCCCCTCCAGTCTCCCATCTCCTTTCCCTCCCTGCTGTGGTTTGAATGTGTCCCCCAAATTTCATGTGTTGGATACTCAATCCCCAACGTGGCAGTATTGAGAGCTGGGGCCTTTAAGAGGTGATTGGGGCTCTTATCTTTACAAATAGATGAACTCATCCATGGGTTGATGAATTAATGAATTGATGGGTTATTATAGAAGTGGAACTGGTGGCTTTAAAAGCAGAGGAAGAGAGGCCTGAGCTAGCATGCTCAGCTCCCTTAGCACATAATGTCCTGTACGGTCTCGAGACTCTTCAGAGAGTCCCCACTGGCAAGAAGGATTTCACCTGACGTGACCCCTGACTTCCCAGCCTCCAGAACTGTAAGACATAAATTTCACTTCTTATAAATTACCCTGTTTCAGATATTCTGTTATAAGCAACAGAAGATGAACTGAGACACTCCCCTTCAGACCAGTGGCATGGTCCAGGCACATTTTCCCCATGGTGATGGCAGAGTGGAAACACATCATTGGGCTAACATCCCACAGGCCCGAGCAAGTGACATGGCCAAACTCAGAAGTAGGAAATATGGCATTAAAGTGCACATCAGAAGTGAAGGAAGACAGTGGAAATGTGAAGACAGTCATCGTGGTCAATATCCTCTGTGACAAACTTATCAGTTGTGGTGGTTTTAAACATTTGCAAATTCTTTGTTACTCCTCCCATCAAGAGGTGGGATCCAGGTCCCCTCCTTCTGAGCTGGGGTGGGCCATTTTGGCTGCCTCGATGAACACAATGTGGCAGAAGTGACACTGCATGACTTTCTAGGCTTCTGCTGGTTTCTTGCAGACTTCTGCCCCTTGTGAGAAGTTCTGATACCCCGAGGTCCCCATGTGGGGAGACCAGACAGAGATGCTCGGGGATGCCTGGACTCCCAGCGAGGAATCTCTGGAGAGGGCCACAGACACTGCATGTCTCTGGAAACACATGGGAGTCCCTGAGCAAGAACTGCCCAGTGGAACCCAGTTAACCCCCAGATCCATGAGCAAATCATTGTTCCGGTGTTATGCCACTGTTTTGGGGTGCCTCATTATGCAATATTAGATAACTGGAAAATCAAGGCTACAGTTTCTAGCAAGGAATGGTGCATAGGGGTGAACTGCAGCTCCCCTGTTTGCCACCCGGTTGTAACCTTGGATAAGTGGTCTGATGTTCCTGAATCTCAGCTTTTTCATCTGTAAAAATGGGGATCGTGTTCCCTGCCTCCTATGATTGCTGCCAGATTAAACACCCAGCACAGGGCCTGGGTGGAGGCAGGTGCTCAGTCAGTATTGATGGAGTAAATAACTACTTACTGCTAAGTGGGGCTCATAGGGTGAATTCTGGCTGGGTAGAGCTTGGAGGCCACAAAATGGGCAGATGGGATGACTGAAACAGTGCTGTGGTTCAGCCCAGGCTACAAATTATGGCCGTTAGAGGTTGTTGAGTGTGTGTGTGTGTGTGTGTGTGTGCATGCTTTCAAATCTTCCTTTAATAAGGAAGTGGAGACTTTTTGCTTGTTTTTTGTTTTTTGTTTTTTTTTTTTTGGTTTTTTGTTTGTTTATCTATCTATCTACTTATTTATTTATTTATTTTGAGACGGAGTCTCTCTCTGTTGCCTAGGCTAGAGTACAGTGGCACGATCTTGGCTCACTGCCACCTCTGCCTCCCAGGTTCAAGCAATTCTCCTGCCTCAGCCTGGGATTATAGGCAAAAGTTACACACCCAGGTAATTTTTGTATTATGAATAGAGATGGCCAGGCTGGTCTCGAGCTCCAGGCCTCAGGTGATCCGCCTGCCTTGGCCTCCCAAAGTGCTGGGATTACAGGTATGAGCCACCGCGCCTAGCCCCTTTTGCAGTCTTGATTGATGTGCGTGAAACCCATTTCCTGGAGCTCTCAGGGGAACACGTTTTTATGTACAGATCCCTATTTCATGAAGTTGCAGGGACATAGAATATATAATTTGTTGGGGGCATTGCTTTGAGCAGGCTGATAAAAGTGGAAGCTAAAAAATTAATGTAGTCTCCTCCCTCAGATCCTGTAGCCAGCCTGTTCGGGTTTCTTCCCCATCTCTGCAACCCAAACGGAAGGATCTTCCTTTTTTTGCCTCATATGATCCACAGGAAAGATCTTCCTTTTAACAGACTTCTTGACAGCACCCATACTGCAGAAGGTGCATGCATCCTGTGTTCATCTTGATGAAGTTTCATAAACTACAGGCACCCGTATTTTCATAAACCAACTTCCAGATCCAGAAACAGAATCCCTTCCAGCACCCCAGATGTCCCTTCTCCCCTTTCTCATCAATACTTAGTCCCCCAACCCAGGGAAACCACAATTCGACTTAAAAATAACATCCTTTAGTTTCCCCAGTTTTTGCTCTTCCTGTAAACAAAATCATGCACTCTGATTTTGTGTTGGGATTCTTCGGCACCACACTGTCTCTGTAACACTCATGCATTTCTTTTTTTTTTTTTTTTTTAAATTTATTTATTATTATTAAACTTCAAGTTGTAGGGTACATGTGCACAACGTGCAGGTTTGCTACATATGTATACTTGTGCCATGTTGGTGTGCTGCACCCATCAACTCGTCATTTACATCAGGTATAACTCCCAATGCAATCCCTCCCCCCTCCCCCCTCCCCATGATAGGCCCCGGTGTGTGATGTTCCCCTTCCCGAGTCCAAGTGATCTCATTGTTCAGTTCCCACCTATGAGTGAGAACATGCGGTGTTTGGTTTTCTGTTCTTGTGATAGTTTGCTGAGAATGATGGTTTCCAGCTGCATCCATGTCCCTACAAAGGACACAAACTCATCCTTTTTTATGGCTGCATAGTATTCCATGGTGTATATGTGCCACATTTTCTTAATCCAATCTGTCACTGATGGACATTTGGGTTGATTCCAAGTCTTTGCTATTGTGAATAGTGCTGCAATAAACATACTTGTGCATGTGTCTTTATAG